GAGCAGAGGTCCTCTACAACTTACATGGTCCTGCCAATATGCATGCCACGTGCTAGGGTTTCAGTGAAGCTCATGACATTCTTTGTCTTATCGCCAGTCAACAGAGCTACTACTGTTAGCTCATTTTTCCCTCACATCTAATGAGATTAGGCTCCATTTGGCTTAGGAAAAGCCATTTGTTGGGATATTAGACTAAGGACTGCATTTGGATGGTTTAACTCACAAGTCCCCAGCTGTAGCAAGTTCCCTGCCTTGATTAACTCAAATGATCTCCAGTGATCTGCACAGGCCTTCTGGTCTTCAGCACAAGGACAAAGCCTGAATCAGGTCTTCAGTTCCTTGTTCAAAGCTTAATTTCTTCCTGCTCCCCAAAGCATCTGTGCACCTTCTATTTGTTGTGTGAAGATTCTGTACATTCAATTCCTCTCTCTGATCATCTCCAAACAAACCCCTGCCTCTTTAAGTTACACTTTATCTGAGTCACTGACCAATTCTGTCTGTTCAGGATTAATATTAATCTTAGTAACAGTTCCTCAGCTGAAAACAACCTACTCCATTCTCTTGTAGTTCCTGGGCTGTATCTGATGAAAAATAGAGCATGTGCACACTTTATGGTAGAGGACCTCTCTTGTCTGCCATAGAGGCCCCACACCAACCAGTCATGTGTCCCACACCTCCAAGTAAATTGCCATTTAGGAGTGTTCATTGTGTCCTAATGCTTGACACACAGCCATTTCTGAAAGTGTTCTAGTTCTGGACACACCAAGCATTACCTTGGCCTGCTTTCAGGCTAAGTGTTCTTTGACAGAAAGAGTTCCAGTAGCTGTATCATGAGATGTGCGCGAGATGTACACTGCAATTCCAGCAAACCATGAACTGTAAAGACCCAAAGTTTCAGAGGGGAATTTATTGTATGGGAGCATATCCAATATATTTTGTCAACCATTCATGAGAATAATAAAAAATAGAAGCTTTTTAAATGACAAAAAATATAGTTACATATAATACAGATTTTCATCTTGCATTGAAGCAGAGCAGTAATAAAATGCTTACTCGTGTTTTCACAGTTAGTTTATGTTGCTTCTCTAGGTTAAAGCATCAGCAACTCAAATCTTCCAGTCAGAACCCCTAGTTAGTAGTTTCACGGGGTGATCATGAGGGTGAACGTTCTCTGCATTTTGATACCCTTTACCAATAGAGCAGGCGTACTTGATCCACCTCAGAACTACTCAAATTTTCAGAGGTACCAGCTACACTTGAACCGAGGCAACCTTACTGCAACTGAAAGATTTTTGTATCAGAACATGCTTTTAGGCCCAATTCAGGAACGCATCTATGGAATACTCAAGAATGTGCTTAAATCCCATTTGGTTCAAAGGGCTCCAAGCTGATCCTTTGTGACCACCTCTGCTTGTTCTGCCCCTCACAAGCACTGCACACTGGCATGCAGCACTAACCAGTATTTGATCGCACGTGTAAGTTGCTTGCAAAGCCACAAAGGATTCGAACATTCTTCAGCACTCCATTTACTTGAGACCTAAATGCATCCGCTGCATGCATACATTTATGTATATACTACACACGCTTACCCCAACCCCTCCCCACAATATTATTGCAATAATTCTTTGCTGGTATAACAGTTTATATACCAAGTTTCACTTATTTAGTTTTCTATAAACATAGAAAAAACACCTGAAGAGAGCTAGAACAGCTTTCAATCAGTCACTATATTGGCATTGAAAGCTTTATTTTGAAAACTTTAAGCAGCAATACTGAATAAATAGACAGAATGATTGTTTTGTCATCTCCATACAACCGATGGCCTTCATCCAAAACATTAAAATACTGTAGCAAATAGAATAAACATGCATGTTTCAATGTTCTTAAAAAAAAAAAGTGTAATATAAAAGTAACACTTTGACACTTATTTTAATACAGTACAGACCATTAGAGACTATTTTCTGGAAAAAATATCTGAATACAGTTTTGTTATTTACATGGATCATTAAGGCCCAATTCACTCAAGTTAATGCACATCAGGAATTTATATGCTTCAAGATAACTCACTAAAAATTACAGGATCAATTTTTTTGCTCATACTCATACGATCCCAGTTCACTAAAATAATGCAATACTTTTCACACTAAAAACAAGGCAATTATTGCCCCAAGAGATTTTTATTTCACTAAAGGATCTTTTCCCTCTCACCTCACAACAAAAGCTTTTTTGCATATTGCTAATGCTACTGGTAGTTCCCTTCAAGAACTTCCTTCCAACTTGCTAGGGTTTAGAAAAGCAAGTAATCGCAAAGCTAACATACCATTTCCAGAAGCAATTCAGGCACTTGGGAACCTAAGTCCCACTGAAAGATAATGGAAGGCAGGTTCCTAGCTGACTTCTCAGAGTGGGACTTGGGTTTCTCCCTTGCTCAGGCATTCAGAATGTTTACCTTAGCCTTAACCTACTGGCTTTTCAAACGGTCAATGCCCCCCGCCTTTTCCCCTAACAACATAGCATTACCAGCAAAAATAAACTGTATCCTCATGGATCAGAGAGGTAACACAGTTAATTTCCATTAGTAATAAATTACAGAAGTTCTCCATATAAATTCCCCGTGCACTGGAAAATAGTGCTTGTGTATTCAACTATTTAATGCAAGCAAAAAACCCCATTTCTTATCATGCTGCCCAGTAAATAGTATGGCACTTGTTAAAATCAATATGTGTAGCTTCCTTTCTGCTAATGCCCCATAAGTAGGTTTGAAACGCTTCTGAAAATTAATTTTTCTACATTTGTAAAGAAAGAGTGAGGTTCTGCAGTTGATCAGAAGCAAAACTCAACACCATAATGTGAGGAATTTTTATAACTGTAATACATTTTTCAATTCACATTTAATGCAAGGGCATGCCATTTCGTTTTGGTTTATTTACAGAGAGGGTGAAAATGCTACAGAACTTTAGCCTGGGTGAAATTCAATAAGCAAGAGGAGTATGGTGGGGACAGGGGAATTTGTCAGTGTCTCACAAATGACAGGTTTGGATACCAAAGCCTCTCCTTTGCCACAACAGCAAAGTTGTGGTTGAAGCTGTAAATGTTTTTCAGATCACCTTGACATATGCTAAAGCCCTGACAAGGAGAGTCCACTCAGTGATGATGCAGTGGCCACTCCTGAGCCAGCTCCAGGCTGGCCCCTCTGTCAAACAGCTGCTGCAGTCAGCAGGTGCTATTTTTTAACTTAAATGGCAAATTCCTTCCTTGATTCTATTACAAAGCCATAACTTAAGCCCTCCAAAGCTGCTCTTACCCTTCCTTTTAATCCTTTTTCCTCCTCCCTCCATCTTAAAGAATAACCTGGCAGAGAAACAGAGCAGTTTTTACAATGCAAGAGCCCAATTCAGCTCAAACTGCACATCTGTGGGAGATAGGCTAGTCACAAAGTATGACAAAAATATCAGCTGGGCAAGTATGGATCTGCCTTAAAAATACTTCATCTCAGTACAAGACTGAAATTGCAACAGGCTTTTCTTTTATTTCCCCCCACCCCCATGCAGCATAATTTGGGCCAGACTTTGCAAGGTGCTGCGTGCCTCAGTTCTCTAACATCAAGAGGTGCTGAAGATGCAAGATATCCACTGGAGAGGGCCATTTTATTTCTGTAAATTGAGCCCAGAATGTAAGGCATATATGCTCAAGTACCTTGGACAGATATTGTCCCCAAACTATGTATATTTTATACTTTTTTTATATATATATACACACACACATTTTTTTTTTTTTAATACAAAGTTATGGGCACAGTAAACATGAGCACAAAGTTGTGATAAACTAACAGTAAAATCTGTGAGCACTGCAAAGATTCCTCAGGTAGGAAAATGTCATTGTCCAGTTTGCTCATGGGGCGGGGGGGGGGGCCACGGTGCAAAGACCTGATAAGTTAAACAGTAAAAATTCAGAGTCCATTTGGAAAGGTCCTTTATATATTCACAGCCTTATCTGTTGCTGTTAGTCTAAATACAGCAGCATTTTTAGAATATATGATGCCATTAGTAAGTGGCAAGGGAAAAAAAATGCATTAAACACTCAAGAGTCCTTCATCTTCTACTTTATCTTATAAAACTTCCATTTGTCAGGAAGCTCCTTTTTTTAAAAAAGGAAACTTAAATTAACATTTATCTGCACATCAGTAAATCAACACAAGAGGATGCTAGGAGTTAAGAATTCTTAAGTATTTTCTATGGCAAAAAGCTTGGAGTTTCCTATCAGCGGTAAAATCCTGACCCTACCAGACATCAGGAGTTCTGTCATTTTGCCACTGACTGAAGGCCAGGTATTCAATACTGCAGTGAAAGCACGGTGACCCCCTCTCACTTCAAGGGGATCTCAAAGGCGGGGATGATGGTATGAGTTGCTGTTAGAACAGGAAATCCAAATGCAACTAGGCAAGGCCCATCCCTTCTCTAACTCACCCATGAGGCCAGCCTCCTAAGGTATGCATACAACGTGTCCCACTGATGCCAGTCACTTTCTCTACAAACTTGGTGTCCACTTCAACAATCTAATTTCAAGGCCTGTAACCAATATGCTACTTGGTAGTGTTTTACTTTCTGCATGATTGCATTAGAGTGACATCAAGAGACGATAATGTTCTCTCTTCACGTTTTGTAAAAAAAAGACTACCAAATGTGTGAATTTCCTGTTTTTAAGTTTTATATTCTGTAAGTGACTGAGCAGCAATACATCTTTCAAAGAGGCTAAACGTCTACCATTTAACACAGGGGACCTGGAATGAAATCCTGGCCCCACTCAAGTCAGTAGAAGCTCTGCTATTGACTTCACAGGACTCTCTGCCAGGTTTCTTCCCTCCACAAAACTTGAGTGAATTCTGGAAGAGGATGCGCATTTGTCTTGTGGGGTTTTTTCTCCTCCAAGAGCAAGATTTACTGCAAAACAAGAACACTGTAATGGCTAGTGGAAAAAATAAAGTACAAAATCACACACAGTGAAAGCCTCCAACTCTCTTTTGGTAAGATACATGAAGACAACTTCTTACATTGTTCTTTTCTCAAAAGGCATATACAATGTGGCAAAATATTTCAAATATACATTCTATATAATAAAATATCATCTAACTAGTGCATCCTCAATCATATGCTGGAAATATTTTTACCAAGCCAAGGTTTAAATCCCATAAATCTTTTGAACACTAGGTGCTTCATTCAAGGCAGATTCAACAGCAAGTAAATCCCAGAAGCTCACTTTTCAAGCCTTAAAAGGTAGCAATGGATGGAACATGACATATTATGACCCACAACAGAAATTAACAAAGTCAGCGGTGAGAAACCATTGTAATGGTTCAGCACTCCACAGAACTCTGCAAGTTGTTGTACTTGATCAAATGGTGGATGTTTGTACACACAAATTAACATCACCTTGTCAGACTGACATACAGCCAAACGTGATTATCCACAAGTTAAAAATAAAAATATAAAAGGTCAACATTCACACGTCCATTGATTAAAGGGAATAAATTAAACCTCAGATCAGTTGCATACATGGTTTCCTTCACCCTCAGTCTTTTATTTATGCCTATACAAGGAACAATACTTTCCAAAACACTTCTGAAGTGGCAAAAACAAATGAAGGTTTTTGCACTCTAGCTGCGTTAACAGCAAGTTCATCCTTGCCAATTACGAATCCAGACAGTTCCTCTGTCTCTTTAGCATCAGTGCACAGGGTATGGCTCCAAGTGGTGTGTTGGGGGAAGAAGAAAAAAAAATATGGTGGCTTAACAAAAAAAAAATAAATTCTTCTTCCATTCATCATTGGCAGAATAAAACAAAAGTGTATCTTGTCCGGGGTACCTTGCTACGTCCTCTCCAGAAGAGGTATGTACTGTCATACATAAATGCCCTCTGGGTTAAAACCAGATGACAGGGGATTCTGTAGAATCCGAAGGTTGCTGGGGAGTTGCCTCGACGAGCCAGGGCGCTTCAGTGACCCAGACTGAAATGTTGGCTCTGCGCAAGAAAACAGGCAGTTACAGAAGTCATCGTCACGGGAGATGTCTGTAGAACTCCTCTCCCTGCTTACTGGTGCCCTTAGTGCAGTTTAGAAAAACTAATACCACATGCAACAAAACATTCACATGCCCAACTAGGAAGTGATGAGATCTAAGGTGCACACTTCCTACTCATTTCAAAACAGAAAGATATACCTACGCAATATAATTACCCTCCCACAAGGAACATGCACACGGATACACACAATGCATTTATACAGTAATGTGCAGAAAGAACGTAACTCAAAGCCTCAGCTTCCTACCCACTTAGAAGAGAAAGTTCGTACAAGTGCTGACATTTAAGGCCTGGTTGTCTCTTCTTCTCTCCCCACCTCCCTACTGTCCCAATGCCTTTTGGTTAGAAAGTTTTCTGAGAGAAGGGACAGAACCAGCTAAGGAGAATGCGGAAGGAAACAGGCCCCTTGCAAGCAGGGTGCTAGACAAAGCACACCACAGCAGAGGCTGAGCCACGGCAAAGGTGTTTCTGCTTTTGCCACAGTTCTGACACGCAATCAACATGCTCCTGTATTTCTGTCTAGGAAATTTTGAATTCAGATGTGGGCATGTGCAGAATGCACTGATCTCACTAGGGCAAAGTCAATTTGCACATGCCATAACAGCCATCTGCGCGGGACTTCTGGATGGCTGGCAGCCCAGCTGGATTAGCCCCTATTCCTGTGCAGCTGCCGTCTGGGATTTCTTAAGATCCAGACACATTCCTTTCTCTACTTTGACAACACATCCCACTAGAAGAGGAAGAACCTAGATGAACAGCAACGTCAGACATGCAATCATATTGTGTGCCAGCTTACATGCCTGCAGCCATAGCAGCCACACTTGAAAGCTACTGGCCTAATGGGTTACTGATGGGACAAACACACACATGCCTAGGCACAGCAGGAGAGAAGTTATCTACATACTATGCTTTATTTATAGCTTGCTAAACCCTTGGAATGAAAAGAAATATTTGATACCGTGCTTTCTTAATATTTTGCTAACTTCTTTGCTAACAGAGCATTCACTTCACATATGAGTGCCAGCATTAATGCAGCATGGTAAACGCTTTGCCATCCCCTTCTCCCGCCCACCAAAAGCATTCTGAGTGCTGCACCTCTCTCAAGCTCTACATGCGGGGCCTCCACCTCAACGGGGTCTGCCGGCAGCACCGTCACCTTCGTTCCCGTTTGCTGGATGAACTGTTGGAGATTGACCTGTCGCAGCTCCTTTGTCAGTTGCTCCAGTTCTTGTTCCCTGTCCTGCCAGGAAAGAGAAAACATCTGCTGAGCAGTAGCGAGCATAAAGCAGCATTTCAAGACTCTGTTTGCAACTGGGCAACTAACACTTCTCCTTTTGATGAGAAAGTCTCCAATTTTTAAATTCAAATGCAAGCAAAAGAATTGAAAGATATTTTACTCTCATAATCTAGAAAGCAAATCAACACTCACTATTACTTATTAGAGGTTAGTTACTACTGGTCTGTTTATGTTGCTTCTTGGACAACTAGCAGATGTTTCTCATATCACCTGAGAAAAATATTGGCACAACAAATGTGAGCAAATAATAGTAATATTGTGCACTCTGAAAAAAATACATCAACTGAGCATCAGTCTGGCACCAAATCTTAGCTCTGCCAGAAGTGTCCAGCATGACTTGGACAGCTCATTTAGTTCTTATTCCTAAAAGGAGAATAATTCCCTTCTCCTCTTGTTCTTTGCGTTTCCTATTTAGAGTGTACATTTTTATGGACAGAACTCTCTCACTCTGCAAGCATACTGTGTTTTGTACAATGAGGCCAAATCCTGGCTGGTTCACCACCCCTTTGCAAGCACAGAAGATGATAATTTCAGATCTTCCTTGAGGCTCTGTAATTCTGGCATGATATGCAAAACATACAGCTCCGACAGATTATGACAGCCTTAGACTACAATTATTTCCCCACGCCGCCCTGAGCCAGGGTGGGCTTTGCCTACCTGGCTGCACAGGGGATGGGCTAGCTACCCAGATGCCAGGCAGCACGTCTGTGGGCGTTTCTATGCAGTGCATACTGCTACGTCTTCATTTTGGCAAGAGATGGAGGTTGGGTCAACCGTATTTTACCCAATTATCTTGTGTAAGCAGAATTATACATGAACTCACACAAGGATTGGGAGAGAATAGTTTTGTGGATCTATTCTAGGAACAGTCCCCAACAGCACAGCCCTTATTCACTTTAAACTTGCAGAAAGACCACAGTTAGGGCTGAATTCAACAGTTAATAAGAAAATTAACACAACTAATCTGATGTCTAAATTAGGACCTTTTAAATGCCAATTGCTTTGTCACTTACGTGTTTGTTTGACCTGTTCAGTCAATGCAGCATATCACATAGTTCATCTCAGCTTCCGGTGCTAAACTTGTGTTTCCATTCATTGGCTACAAGATTTCGGAGAAACTGGACTGAGAAATGAAGACCAGGCCACCTCCAAATTTTAAGACAATTCTACAGAAAAATTCTTCAATTTATTTCAGACTCTACAACTGAGCAGGTGAGACACAGGAGATTCTCAACTATCCTTACTACAATGTTAATTCTACAGCTCCATGTTTTATGCGATTGCAACAAAGTTGCCACTGAAGGTAATTAAGTTTTAAAAACCTGAATCACTAAAATAGGCAGGTTAGCAGGACTAAGATCATAAATAACTTGTTCTTGATATTTCTCAACTTTCACAGGAAATAGAGTAAAAATATTAAGTATCACCCCAAAACATACTGGTTTATACTCTTAAATTTTAGTATCTAATTGTGAAACTTCAGTGAGATTTTTTTACCTGAAGAAGGTTAGGATTTTGGTTTTTTGATTTGGTTGGGGTTTTTTTTCTTATTTTTCATTTAAAAACTTTCTCTAGAAACAGGGAAAGCAGAGTGCTGCATCTGATCCTTAACTGAACATAGCCTCATATTGCTGGAAAGTAATGTCACTGAAGTGGCTAGAGAAAAGGAATGAAAGAAGAGGTAGGACAAATTACTAGAAATTTCTCACATGCTACCAAAAAATGCCACCTTCCTGTTCTTATGGCTTGAAATCTAGTAAACCAAAATTTTCTTTCCTTCTTGAAAGGTCTATAAAAAAACCCATGCTCAACTTTTCTAGTTTCAAATCAGCAGTTCTATGAATATTAATATTTAACTTTCAGCATGCAACAAAATACTTCTCTATTCCCCACCCTCCCCAAGACTGTATAATACAGAGCTGAGTTTATTTTCTCCTGGACTTCTAGATTAGGGCACCTCTAGGTTTAGAACAAGCTTGGGAATCTGAATTTAATGGAAACTTTCCCAAGAAAGTGAAACCCTAGCCTATAGGGGGGGGGAAAAGGCGAGAAAAATTTTGAACTCAATCATAGCCTCACTGGGGGTTACTGAGGATAGGTAAAACACATGAAGAGGACTTGATGCTTTCTGTTAGTGCAAATCCTTAAGCGTAGTGTGTCTGGAAACTTAGGACATCTAAGTATGGACAAAACTGCTTACAGTTTTTATCCATTTTGTTTTGGATGAAAAGATTACATTTTCTTCCCTCCTCGTGGAATAAAACCAGCTTATACTGACATGGTTCTAGCTGCTCAGGAATAAGGGTGCAAAATTGCTTTACATATTCACAGCAGCATCACCTTACTGCAACTGCAGCACTGTAGAACACAGGAACTGTGAACCCCAGGAATATAACAAGAATCACAACTCAAACTGATGCGTGATGCCTCAGTCCTGTCTTACATGGGGCACATTAAAATTCCAGGAGCCACAACGTTTCCTTCACCTCATCCAGCTAGCAGCTAGATTTCCATTTATATTTATTCTTTCTTGTCTATCAGGTTCCAGGTGATATCATTAACTTTAGCAAGGAAGCAAGAGACTGGATTCTCTTTTGATACATGTGCCACAAACGCCTGAGGTGTAGAGAAAATAAAATCCTGAACACCAGCAAGTCAGACAGGAAAAGGGTGATGCTACTCTCTAAAACTAAAGCCCTGTAAGCTAACAGTTATTTTAGCTCTACATCCATCTATCCAGATGCTGCTTTTGGACTGTTTAATTCATCTACTTTGGTGGCAAACCTAGCAAGAATCAGAAGTTGAGCCTCAAAAGAGGCTATAATGGTGCAAATTTCCCTGAAATTTAACAATATCAAACAGTGAGCTGCTAAGATGTAGGACCTAAATCCTCAAGATATCTACCCCCAAATCAACAGGGGTTTGAAGACTAATACTTTTAAAGGCATTAGGTCAAGAGCACTATAGCCCCTTTTTAGCACTCAGCAGTACAATTCTCTGCTAGCCCTAAACATGCTGTTGTTCACACAGGAGATATTATTTGTCTGAGGTGTAAAAGAGGCCAGACCCAGTAGCACAGCAGTACCTCACTGGAGCTAGTGAGCACTCGCTCTCAGCAGGGCGAGGTGGCTAGATGCATTGCCATGGGTGCAGCCCATGCTAGTTTGGCTGATATTAGCCCTGGTGTTTCTCTATCACGGACCACTGCACGGTGAAGATATGCTTTGAGTGATTTCTCAGAAGCCACCAGGCAGTCAGGGAATGGTAGCAAACCAAAGCTGTAACTGAAGGGAAAGCAACTGAGCCAGCGTGTAAATAAGTGAAAGGTGTTGTGGCGCTCAGCACTAACCCTGCAGGCCACGCTGGCCTTCTGAATGGCCAGGAACACAAACCAGCAGATGTTTTGGTGGATATCCCAAGACAAAGAAACAGCTAGTTTTTCTTTTCAGATGGTTTGAGTGAGCAAAAGGCACACAGGTGAAATGAACACTGCCTGCTCTTCAAAAAAAAAAAAATCTGAAATGCAATTTGAAAATGAAAGCAACACTTTCTTCCTTTTACCCCAATTCACTGTGGAAACTTTCTCATGTTTTCTGTCACGGGCTCCAAATCTGTGTGAGAGAAATTCATTACAGTCACGTCTTTGACTTTTCTTTCGCTACGGATAAAAAAAAGACATTCTTACCTGTAACCGTTTGGTAGCTTGGCCCAAAGACCTTTCTACAGCTTTAATGCCATTTTCCAATCTCAGACTCTGCTGGCCCTGAATATCAATTTCGCCCTTCACCTTCTCGATCTTTTCCTTGACCTCTTCTTCATTCACCTGGGACTCTTGAACTTCCCGCTGCAACTTCTCTGCTTCAAGGCCACTTTCCATGTTGTGGATCTGAGACACGTAGTCCTTCAGCTTGCTCTCGCACTCCAGGATCCTCTGCCTCATCTCCTGCAGCTGCTCCTTCAGCTGTTTTTCGTTCTCCTGTTCGATCTGCAGCTCGTTTTCCCAGAACTCTTCCTCTTCGATCTCCACTTCGTTCCTTTTGATCTTCTGCTCTAGCTTGAGGATTTCTTCTTCCAGGCTGGAGTTGTACTTCTGTTCCCAGTAGCGGATCTCGGCTTCGTTGGACTCCAGCTGCTTCTCGATGCACTGAAGCTTCTCTGTCTGGAGGTGGATCAGTTTCTTCAGCTCGTCGGCGGTCGTTTTACAGTTGTTGAGCACCTTCTGCTTGAACTCGGATTCTTTGCTTTTCCCGAAGATGTCCATTAGCCCTTTGGCCCCGCCGGTGAAGGTGAGGGACTTCCTTTTCGGCTCCCTCCTCTTCATGGCCTTGTCGCCGGGAGGCCTCAGCTTGGCCAGGGGCGGCAGGCTTTGCCGGTACAGAGTCCTCTCCGGGATGCGAGCCACGCTGTCCGAGGTCGGCCGCTCGCTCAGGGAGGGCCCGGTGCGGCGCAGGATCAGCTGCACGTCGCTGGCGTACTGGCCCCACTTGTTGAGGGAGACGATGGGGTTTTCGTGCGGGGCCAGGTGCCTCTCCGTGTCCCGCCATTTCTCGATCAGCGTGTACCGGCCCGTTCGCCCTGCAAGGCAAAGCACAGCCGTCAGCGGGGCGGGCCGCCAGGGGGCGCTGCCGGACAGCGCGACCGCCGGA